TCCACTAAGTAGCGGTTCTTGAAAAGAAGATAGCTGAGTTGGACTTACTCCTTACTTATGGAATATGAAGAGGATGTAGATGAGTCGATCTTGCATACGGGGCATAGCGGGTCTTAGACGTAAGCGTCTGAACTGGTGGAACTAGGGAATAGAGTTAGAACATTTGCTGTTTAATATCTGTTTCCTCAAATTTTGCAGTCCTTCAGTTTTCGTATGCTATGTCCGTCGCTTTTCATGTTAATCAACGTCTTTTGTTAGGATCCATATAAAAAAAATTGGATGTATGTATGGTCAGAGGAACGGGGTCGGTCACTAAATCTGTCCGCAAGGTCAGATCCACTTTCCGGGAAAGCTTTCATTGACGAAAGAAAAGCAAAAGAATTAACTAAGCCAGTCATGGTCAAACAGCTGCCCATTCGGTCTTTCTGAATGGTACGCTTAATTCCATAAGAAAAATAAAGTGTCTTAAAAATGTATTTTGTTTCGTTCTCACTTGTTCACTCACACACTCTCTCATATATAACCAAATACATAAACAATGTATGTAAAATCTTTCTTGAAGTTTGTAAAACTTTGGGGAAAGTAACTTTGTCGGCATTTTCAACCATTGGCGATTTTAAGTAAGGAAGATCATACGTGTAAATATCTTTTGCTTTTGATACAGGAAACGTTCATAAGATCTTTTTCCTATAAAGAAGAAATACTTTCATTTTCAAATGAATAAATTAAAAATATATCACACGCAGCGCCATGTGATAACCACATGGTCACCAGTGATAACAAGACATCAATTTTTTTTTAATTATAAAACAATTTTTTCTAAATTTTTAAGGTATATTATTACGCATATGGTTTTCTGTAGTGGAAGTAGCTACGGTACCTACTACGAAAAATTAACTTGAATTCTTTTTAGTACGGCGGCCGCCTTCTGATGTGATCATGCCGCTTATTGCTCGAAAAAGGTTACCCATACCTGAAATTAACACTCTGGAAGACAAATATTAACAACATGAATTACCTCATGATGGGGTTACCTTTGACCCAAACTGTATCTACGACTATCTTTAGCATAACCAGCTGACACGAAATAAAATAAACTCTAAAGAAAGACATTGCCTATCTCTTGGACTAAAAGAACCAATTGTTACGGTTCTACCTATAAGAGCCATCGAGACAAATGCATCTCTGTAGATGAATATTAAGTCATATGTATTAAGAGAGATGATAAGAAGGGAATCGCATGTGTGGCGCGAGTTGCTTGGAATGGTTCTCTCAAAGACCTACAGGTTTCACTCGCCCGAAAACACATTTAACATCGATCTGAAAAAGCGGTTGCATGTATACGAGAGTTTAGATATTTTTGAACAGGTTTGGTACCATGCATGATATTCATATAAAAGTTTCGATCTGAAGAATCCATCTAAGAACATGACCCGAGTATTTATAATGGCCGACTCGATTTCCGAGCACAACTGTGTGGTTGACCATTCCTTGTTGCAGACGACTACTCGGGTAGATGGGTATTTTGTTCAACACCCACAAACCCACGCCTCTGGCTTAAACTGCAACTGAGTTATAATTTCTGGGATAGGGTGACGCGATCAACAGTTAAAACCAGGCTAGCATCCTCAAATCATCAGTCACGAGGACTTGTGATTTTGGGCCTCGCGCAAACATCGTTAGACTCCAATCAGTTCTGTCTATCCCAATTTAACTCACAAGACTTGACCCAACCCGTGCTTACCGGGTGCTTTCCAAAGGGACCGCACTCTAGGGTAGTGTTAACATCAAGACTTTACCTTGCTGACAGAGACTTTGGTGAGATTCGAACCCGGTTCACATGGGCGTAAAGCAAGCTTTCTAACCACTCGCTCATTTCTAAATCTAAATTATGGTCAGATCCATTACGATAAATAATTCAGTAAATGCACACACACACATACACGCACACACACTAATATACATACATACATACATATATATATATATACAGTGTAACCCGGATATAAGAGAGTTGTCGGGACCGGAGAAGAAGTCTCTTATATCCGGGTTTCTCTTGTATCCGGGTTTCTTTTATATCCGGGTTTGGTCTATTTTGTTTAGGTAAGTATGGCTCTAATTTGGGACCAGAGAAAATCTCTTTTATATCCGGGTTTATCTTATAACCGGGTCTATTATATCCGGGTCTCTTATATCCGGGTTACACTGTATATATATATATGCTCCCGAAAACTTTATTTCGGTTGAGCTCTTTGGGGAGGAAGTGTGGGTTTGTAAACAGTGACTATTACGGCAAATAATGCAAGAGTTCGACTTCTCTCAGTCACTGTGTGTTTATCTAAAAATAAATACGCTTAAATTCACCTTCATCCCTGCCGTGCTTAGTGGTAGAATCCTCGACTGACGCCAATTCAGGTTTCGATCCTAGCTAGAGGCAACCGGACGTCTAGCCACACTGATGAGCTGTGATACAGCGAAACAGTCTGTCTGTGGATGACAATATATATATGTATATGTGTGTGTGTGTTTGCGCGTGTGTGTGTGTTTGCGCGCGTGTGTGTGTTTGTATGTGTGTGCATGTATATGTATGTGTGTGTATATATGCATATGTGTACATATATACAGACACATATATATACATGCACATATGTATATGTGTACATATGTGTACACTAATTCATTATAATAAGACAGTATGTAAGTATGGAGAGGGTATATACATATACATACGCATGCTGACAAAAACACAAAAAAAATGGAAATGGATCTAACAACACACAGGGGTCAATAAAAGATAAGAATACAAATATATTTCCTCACCTTTTCTCGGACCGATCTTAATTGTTTTATTATCCATCACGCAGAACTTTTTCAAAAGAAATTGTAAAAAGAGAATGTCTAATATCGTTTTTACAAAAAACTGAGAAAAATTAATTCATTTTAATTATATGTGAAAATATCCACTCTTTTGCCTGATGAAGGTCGAAAATAGCGCAGTTATGGAAATAAATATATATATATATTTTATATATATATATTCTCATATATATATATATATATATATATATATATATATATATATATATATGTGTGTGTGTGTGTGTGTGTGTGTGTGTGTGGGGCAAATATGATTCTATATCCGACTAGGTAGGTGCAATGGCGCAATGTAATGGTTAGCAAGTTTGTCCCACTAGACCAACTTGCGACTGAATCATGAGTTCAATTCTCACTAAGTGCCCCATCCATTGGGCCGTATGCCTCATCTAAGTGAAAGCTTAGAATGTTGCTACCAGACCTAGGTAATTAATCACGACAAAAAATCTTACGCAATATGGTCGTTCTTGTTACAAAGAGTTTTTTGTCCTAAATATAGATATATAACTAAGATAAAAAAAAATAAAATTCCTTGTAGAAAAATATATAGATATATATATATATATATATATATGAGATATATATATATATATATATATAGAAGACTCATTTTTTACATAGATATTTCGTGATCCTCTAAGTTACAGGTTCCTATATAAACCTATATTTATGAATAGTCTTTAATTTAAAAAGAAATTGTATCGATCGTTTTTTCAAAACTGAGGGCGAAACTTTACGAAACATTATGATATATATATATATATATATATATATATACCTATAGATAGATATAGATATATATAGATTTGAGTGAGTATATAGATGAGATAGATGATAGAATATTTTTATTTGGAAGTACATTTTAACTCTAGGTTCTTATTCCCCCACCTATAGACACACACGCAGATACACACATAGATAGATAGATAAATAGATAGATAGACAGAGAGAGAGAGATATGAACAGATAGATAGATCGATAGATGAGATCGATGTGAACAGACTCAGATCGATAGATAGATATCGATAGATAGATATGAACAGACTCAGATAGATAGATAGATAGATCGATGCGATATGAACGATTAGATAGAGATAGATAGATAGATAGATAGATAGTGAATAGACTCAGATAGATAATGGATAGATCGAATCGATAGATAGATAGATAGATGAATATGGACAGACTCAGATAGATAGATAGATAGATAGATAGATAGATAGATAGATAGATGATATGATAGATGATAGATAGATAGGCTCAGATAGATAGATAGATAGATAAATATAGAGATAGATAGATGATGAATAGACTCAGATAGATAGATAAATGAGATCGATCGACTCAGATAGATAGATAGATAGATAGATAGATAGATAGATAGATAGATATGAACAGGCTCAGATAGATAGATAGATAGATAGATAGATAGATTTCAGCTTTGTTTGTTTTCCCGCGGTCTTTGTTATGCAGATATGAATAAATAATAATCCGTGATTTTTCTCTACATTTTTTTTTCTTACAAACAAAAGTTAGTCCGATGCAAAAATGCCAGTGTACGTTATTGTAAGTACCATTTCTGTTCCTGTATAAGATATACCTGCAAATAATAATATATTCAAACATCAGTAAAATATCATATGTAACATTCAGCAAGCAGGTGTGCTCTGTCGTGCCTGGCTTTCCTTTACCTCACAGCACCTTGCTTTGTATATTATATACATACGACGTGTACAGAGGATTAGGTCACTGTAGTTGCACATATAAGCCAAAGAGGTCACAGAAGGTTTATATACAGTGTTTTTTTTTTTATTCCAACACTGAACCATGTGAGAGCGTATCTATTTTTGTTATATATAGATTACGATATTTTTTTCTGTCGCAATGTCAACGGTCAATGCTGGACTTACCTATAAGCTATACCAATAAGCTTCTCTCAGTAAGCTATAGTGTAGTGCTTCATCCGTTCGTGAGATTCATTTTTTAAAAGAATATTTTTTATGTTATCAATATTTTATATTCTTTAACACCATATTAAAAAAAAATATATATATATTATTTATTCTTTATCATTAACAAACCTAATTATTATGGACATTTTACCCTGATCACCCCACGGCAAGGGGATGTCGCACCAGATCGGGTTTAACGCTAGTACACCCGGGACAAGAACAAATACTGTTTTAAAAATACTTTGAAAACTAAAAGGGCCATAGCAGATGAAATTTCGGCCCTGACAACGAAGAAATGCGGGCGCGACAGCTCTTTAAGTGAAAGGTTTCAATTGATGAAAGATTTTAGATGATTACTAATATGCATGGGATGTGCGGCTGGGGTAACAGTTGTCATCGCGGAAACTGGAACAGATAAGCCAGGTTCGCATTCCTGTATTGCCTGCGTTCTGCGTTCACTTCCCCGCAAATTTCTTTCTTAACACAGGTACGAATCCAACTCTTCTCTCCACGCACCAGGTATAGATTAAGCAGCGGAGCATTGTAGACTGGGTCATCTAGCCTTGGATAGCAGTCAGTCTATAAGAAGGACAACTGTGAATTCCAAATCGTGAGGAAGGCAACAAGGGAGACCACTCGACTATCTCTCACAAGAATGCTTGGAAATTTATATATATAATTTAATATGCATAATATGTGTGTGTGTGTGTGGTTATATAATAATAAAAAAACAGAAGTCGAAATAATGAGACAAAATGGAAAATCTATGAACGATGCTTATGGGATACTTCTGTTGATATCGACTTCTTACAGAAGAAGCCAAAATCATCATCATATATATATATATATATATATATATATATATATATATATATATATATATATATATATATATATATATTTTTCCCTGTTGCCTTCCCGATTTGGGAATTCACAGTTGTCCTTCTCATAGGAGGCACGGTGGAGTAGTAATTGTTAGCGGCTCGGATTGAGAAATCGGAGAGTCGAGTTCGAATTCCAGTCGAATCCATTACATTCACTTACGTGCTAATACCCTAAATAACCTTGGATGGATCTAGGAGAAGGACAACTCTGAATTTAAAACCTGCAGAGGGTCGTTTGGGGATCTTGTAGTTCACCAGGTTTCTGTATTCGGCCCTCCCAAAAGTGTAGATGGTTCTGCACAAACCCTTTACCCCTAAAATCAAATCGCATGTGTTGGTGTCTAGCTGTGGGCTCGTAGGAACTGAGTTGCTTGAGCTACATACGTCGTATACGAACAGAAATGGTACTTACAATAACGTACACTGGCATTTTTGCATCGGACTAACTTTCATTCGTCAGAAAAAAAAAGTGGAGAAAAATCACTGATCATTATTTATTCATATCTGCATAACAAAGACCACGGGAAAACAAACAAAGCTGAAATCTATCTATTATATATATATATATATATATATATATATATATATATATATATATATATATATATATATATATATAGATGCGTGGGTAAATTTTACCCACATTATATTTTTAATTTCGCGCATGCGCGTCGTTTATTTTTGATTTTGTCGACTACACTGTATAGTAGGGTCAGTTGGGCACAATTTGTTAGAAAAAAGCACCTTGACGCAATTCACTCCGCCAGAAATTTAGAAACGGCATGCTTAGCATTCGCGCCGGAAGCTTCAATACGAACATTTCAAAGTGTTTGGGTGTCAATCTGAGGATTCGGAAAGAGTGAGGTAGCTCTATTGGTGAAGGTGTTTGGTGTGATTACTAGTGATAGCGACATAATGTCTCCATTCATCTTCCCACAGTGTCTCAGAATCAACACGGAGGCCTACATCAATTGCCTTGAGGAGTTAGTGCTGCCCTGAGTCATGTGAGTGGTTTCTGGAAGAGCCTATGTCTAGCGACAGGTCTCTACACTATGCCGCATAAGCAGGAGAACAAAGTCATGACTGTTAGACAATTTCTACAACCACATCACTCTTTACAACTGGCCGCGTAATTCCCCAGACTGCAACCCACTTGATTATTATGTGTGGAGTGCAGTTGGGCGAAAGATAAAAAAAAATCAATGTAATACCAAAAATGAACTGAAGGCAAGGACTGTAGCAGCAT